GCAGTGAGAAGATACAAGCAAATAATACTGAGTGAACTTAAGTATTCACATTGCTTATGGTAAGCTGGCTTTATTAAACCTAAATTTGTGTCAACAAACATTTTAGTTATTATTATAAAGTAAAGAATTCAAGCATATTGAAAAATAAAATTTCATTTGAAACGGCATGTAATGTGAATGTTGTATTTAACATAAACGTAGTAACCAATCATTATTCATTAATAATGTACCCACTATTTATTAAAATGATCTTAAGAAACATTCAACACATTCAGATACATTATATACACCAGAATGATAAATTGAATTCCAAAGAGTATGGTCATCCAGTAAATTAAAACCGCTTGGACAAAACGGACTAGTAAAAATAGACGAGCTACAGAATGAATTAAACAAGAAATTTAGTATAACAAAATGTATAAGTCACACAGAAATGAAACACCTATAGCCTACTAATTTGTTAGTAAGGATAAAACCAATGCACAGCGCCTATCTTGTGAACTTTACGATTTAATTAGGAAGGATTTCATTATGAAGACTAGGAGGTTATGTACATTACTTAGCAAAATAAGTGTAAATAAGTTTCTACCATAACTTAGTTTCAGAGATGAACCTTTTTTATCTTCATTTTTCCTCAATCAGATGATAGTGTAATAATAAAAAATGCGACATCATAATCATTCTTTTAAAAACAGATTTAGAATGTATATTCGAATATTATTCCTTAAATATAAACTTATTTTTATTGAAATCATGAACCGATCAATGCCAGAAAACCTTTGAAAACTTGGAAGAATCGGACGATACTTTCGTTCTAGAATGGCACTCACCAGAACTACCCATCCACGGTCCTACACTCAGGCTTCGAACCCAGAACCTTCGGTCTCGCATGCAAACGCTTAACCTATAGACCACTAAGTCGACATTCGATGGTGTTAATGTTTAACTTGATTCAATTTACAGTGTTGTGTGACTATCTTCCACTGCCTTTTTTAGTAAATAAAATCTGAAAGTTTTCCAAGGAATAAATGTTTCGAGTAAATTTATCCATTTAAGATAATATATGATGCTGAGATCGGTTCAACTTCTATGAATCTTTCACTAATGTTCTATTACATTACTTTAAATTATACTGATCTTATCATAAACCGCTTGTTTAAATTAATCCGTTATAGTTCCGAATACATTGCGGAAACCATCTGACTGCATCACGAAGCAATTACTAACTTGGGATCCTGAAGGGAACCGGAAAAGTGAAATGTTAAAGAACGTATTGCATTGGAAATTGGAAGTAGATATGAAAGGAATGAATAGCAACTGAAAACAACTTGGATGGACTGCTTAGAACAGGGCTAGATGGAGAATTTTGGTAAGCGACCTATGCTCCCCTATGAGGAGTGACAGGCGTTAGTAAGTTATAGCTCCAAAATGATTTTAAAATGAATTCAATTAAATAGAAAACAAATAATTTCATAGTTTATAAGATAATTCAAAACCAGTCTTTCCTTAACAAGTATCTTTTATCAACTTTTTTTATTCAATCTTTTCTCTTTGAAATAGTTCATAATAGAAATTAAGGTGATTTCTTTTCAAAATTAACAATTTGTTTTAGAATAGAAAGGCAATATAATTCAAATTGTTGTCCTCACTCTTTGTTAGATTTCAGTTCTCTATAGAGTTTTTCTCACAATTTCTTTAGTTCACTCACTAATTAGACCTACTTTTGTTAAAAAAAAGTGTCATTATTGTTTTTGTCGTGTTAATAAGACCACCTATCTGTATGCGTTTTGTTAATGGATAAAGAAACATGTTTATTATTAAAGTTTAGAAATTAATAAGTTTATAAACAACTGAATCAAACGTTAGGAGGAAATTTGTTCAACTTTCAATTTGGTGTTCACCACATTAAAAGTTATCATGTTTTGATTGAAGTTAGACACTAACACAGTCAGATGTCAGCCAGCTCATTGATCTAGGGATTAAGCGTTTGCGTGCGAGACTGACAATCTTGAGTCCGAATCGCTAGCGCGTCCCATACCAGGACGAAGTGGTCATCTAGTGCTTCCAGATTTTCAATGGTAGTTTAATTTAGATAGACTCATGAATTCAACTATTAAAATATTTTTAAAAAAATTGAACACCAATCATTTCATTTAATACAATATGAATACAATATACTACAAAGCACTCACAGTGATTGCAGTTGCAAAGATGCACCCACGTTAAGTCTTCTCGCAGATCCTCAGTCTAAAAATTACCCTATACATTTTATGACACAAAAGTTATCCCTTTTTTGAATCATATTGTCTGTCTAATATGTTTAATACTATTGACAGTGTTACTAATTCTACTAATTGTACTGATAATTTCATCTTATTGTGCTAACGTAGCACGGCAACATATATAGCAGGTTCTACATTACTTATAACTGGATTTATTATAACAACTATTTAGCCAGATTTTTTATATGCCAGTATGTATCTTAGATAGTAATCGATAATTCTAGATGACTGTGATATTAGATTTATACATCGTATTTGTTTAAATATGTACCAAGCTTATATCTCTGAAAATATCAAAACATTTTTAAACATTTAAATGAAATACATTTTTTCGGTAATCTCATTTATTGTCTTCCTATTATATACAATGATTATATATTATTGTTGATTGATATCGTGAGTCAATTGAAGCTAACCCAAGGCGGCCTGCTTGAATATCTGGGCTACCGGTTTTTCCGATCTAGATACTTCATCAAGTTATCTGTTTTATTGTTTGTTTTAGCACATCATTATGTCTATTGTGCACACAATCTATTCAGGCGCGTTTATGAAAAGTTTACAACCTTTCGCTATACGTGATACAAAAAGGTACAATCAGCGACATCATGGTGGCTGGCAATATGCATTGAAACGAATGAACATTAATCAAATGTGGATTACCGAACTCCTAACATCTAACTGGTCATCATTCAAAATTTATCGTCACAATCGATCAAGGTATAAGACAAGGAAACTTGTTGAAATATTTTATGCTGAGAATTCTATGTTGTACCAAAAATATAATCTTGAATAAAGCTTCTAATAATAAATAAATAAATAGACCACCATGGAAAACCTAAAAGCACTGGACGGCCGTTTCGTCCTAGTATGGGCTGTCCAGTGCTTCCAGGTTTTCCATGGTGGTCTAGCTTCAATTGACTCATGATTTCAATCAAAAACTTAACAATCTCCACAACCTCTGAACTGATGATTATATATTACTCATTTGTTAATCTAAAGTTTTCTAGATATTTTGCTAAAGATTTTATAGTTTATGTGAAAATTATTCATATATTCATTGTTTAATTTTTTTAACTTGCTAGAATTATATCGAAAGTATTCATTTTAGCATTCTATACTGCTACGTATTGTTTTAGGTAATGGTACGTACTAAATTCTTTTGATATTGTGTGGTTTTGAACCTTCTCATTGATGTTTAGGATTAAAGTTGATCAGTTTCTTATTGACATATGTGTATCATGTGTGAATTGTCTCGACATTGCTTTAAGTCACAAGCATTATAAGCCATTTACTTGTGCAATGGCATTTGAAGGGAACGGTACTGGGTTCGAGTTTTGGAGTGAACATTAACTCTGGGATACAAGTACAACTAGCCACAATCCATCTCTACTTATAGTGGAAAATACTTATGTGTGCTTTTCGTTATATGTTAATATTCAGCAGAATATTGTGCGAATAATGGAAAATACTTCGATACTCCCGGGAAATAATTTTCTACTATCCAATATTTACATAATCCTATAACTTTATGTATAATTAATTACATAACAAGAATATACATGCTTATCTGATAATAATTATCGAAAAAAAAACAAATCGTTTGTTTATATGCTGCTAAAAACATACTAACAACTAATATTAAAGATATGTCTAAGGATCTTGATAAGAGTGTGGCATATTGATAGGAACATAAAGTAGGATTTAGACAAATCACGTATTCAAATTATCATGGTTGTACAACGATTTTCTTACTCAGTCTTTTTATTTTAGTTAACTAATGAACTTATTCATTAAGAAATTAAGAAACAATACTATTAGTCATTAAATACAGTTGTCTTAATTACAAATGATGAATGGTGTAAAAACACACACTAGTTGATCTAAACTCAGTCAGATATTGAATCTTAAACTATTGGTCTTTTTTCACGACAATGCTATCCATATATGATAACTTAAATTTTTTCAAGAATCTAGTTTCAGCTGTTCCACAGTGTTTTTTTATTTATCAGTATAACAACTAATTTACAATGAAACAAAGCTTAATTTTTAAGTATTTAGAAACAATATTTCAGCACAATTCACTCAATATACATTTTTCCAAGTTCCTGGGTAGTGAGGACAACTTTGCTAGCTCTAATTTGGGCGGTTGAAGAGATTGGACTAACCCGCCACTCCGTTGTAAACCGAATTGACTAGGTTCAAATTTCGAGGCAACCTAAATTGAACATCAGTCATACGATTGAATACTTCAGTGACATGAGAATATATTGCATTTATACTATGCCTAATATTTAAATGTAGTGGACATGAATTCTCACACTGAATAATCCAACTTAATGAGATGAATGGTACAAATTCTGGAAGTATAAATTGATAGCTTACGAATAAATCCAAATTGTATTGTTCTGGTGTTACAGAATGAGAAAAATTTATTCATACACTTCATAATTTACATTATGCATAAATTACACTTCACTTCCACCGTATCAATAAAACCAAATGTCAAATCTCATACAGACTAAGATCGTCTGTGATGTACATGAAATTCTGAACTACACAGAACATTATTCAACAACACTATGGTTATAAAATCAAACAAATCAAATGCATTTAAACTATTCACAAACAGTCCATGTAACAAAACGATTAAACACCTAAAAAATATATTTAAAAATATATAATATAATACATTACAAAATAAAAACAAACTAAACTCACTTGAACTCAATGTGATTTCTTCCAAGTCGGCTATTCTAGGAAGGAAATCTTTTAGATGAGTATATTCAAGCACAAGCGAATCACTGTCAATATATGGCACATCATTATCTTCGCATTCATAACTACTAAGCACTTCCTTATCATTATTTATGTTACCAGTTCTAATTTCATTTCTTGCTAACTGTCTCTCATTAATAGTGTTGTTAATACCATAGTTAGTTAGATTATTGTTAGTGTTTTTACTTGAAGAATTATATTTATCTGTGGAATGTGAACAGTCATCCTCCCAGCGATACGATTGATTCTGTAATTCTAGATCACGTATTCTTTGTATTACACTAGAATTATTCTTATCGACATAGTTTGAATATGTTAAATTTTGATCATTGTAAATTTTTTTATTCTGTACATGAATATCATCTTGGCATGGATAACTATTATCATCGTTTCCTTCATCATCATCTAATTTGTCCTCATCCTCTTCATCATCACAACCATAATCATAAAAACTTCTTTTCTCTTCCATATCATCATTGTTTTGACAATAAATCCCTGTTGAATTATTCAACTTAACATCACGACTCAAATATTGTGGAAAAAATCTCCTACGTGCCGGAGATAAATCATCATGATAAGAATTACTATTTGCCCCTCCATTTCTTGTGTTTTTATCTGAACTAGAATCATCATTACTAATAGTCTGATTCAATACTCCTTGCGAATCTGATATAGAACAATTACTCTGTTGTCCATTTTTCACTTTTTCTAATATACTACTTAATTCAGCATCTGATTTTATCAGTAGATCACTCACTCCAACAACAGCTGGAGATCTTTGTAACGGACGAAATAAACTATTAATATTACCATTCAATTTTGCTTTGAAACTTTCCGAATAGTTTGACTGTTGTACAAGATTAGACGGTTTGCTAGAAAATTTCTCATTAGGTTGGGAATTTTTTACTGTATTCATTTCTAGATTCTGAAGGTTTTGGTCATCCAGTTTTTTAGGATTATCATTACTAAGTTTGCTATTTGTAGGGCACTTAAAATTTGTTGAGGATAGTTTAGACTCGTTTAACTCATGTTTATTCAAGATGAAAGGATTTTGTTGACAAGAATATGAAAACAATTTTGAATAGTCTATAGGCTTAAAATCAGGACTTTTAACATGATGATATGTTATCGGTTGATTATTGAATGTCATTTCATTTGAATTAAGTTTTTCTTCAAATAATATAGGTGGTAAACTGTCTGTTTTGTCTTTACATTTTTTATACAGATTACACAATGGTGAGGATGACAACGTGTTAAAGTTTGTTTGAAGATGGCCTAATTTTGAGTGGATATCATTTTGCTCTTCCATGTAACATTTCTCAGATGGATTTTCAGGAGTAATAAAAATTGAATGATTAAAGTCATTGTTAGTCGATGGCAATGTATAGGAAAAGTCACGTGACGCTGTTTTAAATGTAGACAGACTTGTATAATTGTTTGCCTGACTTAAAGGATAATTATTTAACTGTGAATTAGTATGTCTGTCTAATAATCTAGAATGTTGTGTTTGATTAAGCGTGTTTGAATTATCATACAAACCTTTAACAGAGGATTGATGATCCATGGAATTTTTGGACAAACAACCAGTTAAATAGCTTCCATCTTGACTGATATGTGACGTAAATAACAATCCATTATCATCATGTTTATTATCAGAATCTCGGGGGATGTTTGTCGATGTGTAGTTCGAGATTAGGGGTCTAATTGATTGACTACTGAAAGATGAGTTATATCCAGTACATAATGGTTTCTGATTCATTGCGTTTTTATAGAAGTCTTTATGACAACCTTTTATAGCATCGTTACTTGTTGTTACCATCTTGGGCATAAATGGAAAGGACATTGAATTCTCTATAAATGAATCATTTGGTGTAATATATGGTTTTTCATTAGAAACAGGATAATGTTTAATAAAACTTTGTGTAGACAAATTAGGTGTGAAACTAAAATCAATATCTTTCATTGGTTGAACACACAGATTAGGAAACTGTGCTCGTGTTGAATTCTGTATTGATGTTTTACATATGTTATTTGTATTGGATACAGAAACAAATGGATGGAATGTTGATGATAAATTTTGTGATGAATTTAATGGTTGTATAAATGAATCAACAGTGTTTTCAGTTATAAAATTATCTTTTATTAATTGACCTGATATGTTTTTTGTATTACCATTTGGAGTACATTTAAAATTACCACTTTCATATATAACACTATAATTGGGAATATTTCCTGTATCATTTAAATATTTGACATTTTCATCTAATTTATGATAATTCAAAGAAGATGTCATTATTGGTTGACTTGGTGTTAATGTCCAACATAATTGATTTTTGTCATAATCCGTTGATAATATTAATAATTCTTCATCAGTTATTTCATCATTCCATAAAGGTAAACTAAAATCTTTATGTGTTCTATTTGTTTTATTCATAATAAATCCTTTTTGATTTTCTTTAAGCTCTTCATGTATTCTATCAAATCCTCGAATTTTACCATCATTATTACTATTATTCCTATTATTGTCATTATTATTATTACTATTACTATCAGTAGTATTAGTAGTAGTAGTAGTACTAGCAATTTTAAAATATTCGTTTCTTATTATTGATGAATTAAGTTCATTTGATAATTGTTTCTGTAATTTATAATTATTTGAAAACGTTTTTCTATTATCCAATGTAACAGGCAAATTTATAGTCCAAAAATCACCATTACCATTATTAGTCTTTACATTATTATTATTATTATTATTATTATTATTATTATTATTATTATTATTATTATGATCCAATAATGGTTCATGTTGTTTAAGTTTACAAAATGTATTATTCAATAAAGATTTATTTGATAATTTTGATAAAGAATTATTATTTATATAATTTTGTTCATTATTATCACTGATCATTATAGTTGCATAATTTGATGTTAAATCATTATCATTTATTTTTAATTCTGTATCCGTACAAAAACTAATTTGATCTATATCAATCAATTCATTATTAAATGTTCCATTTTCTGATGTTTCTAATTCACTTGTCTCTTCGGCAATTGTTTCTAAAAATGCATTACTATAAGATGCAATTAATGGTAATTCAATAAATTTATTATTATTATTATTAATTGATGACAACATTTCTGGTTTTGATAAATGAATATAATTTATGGTATTCACTTTATTGTCAGTAGTAGTAGCAACAATAGTAGTAACAATTGTAGTAGCAGTAGTAGTTGTTGTTGTTGTAGTAATATTGATATGTTTAGAAGTTTTATTATCGATCATATTATCATGATAAACATATTTAGATTATTCATTCTTTTCTTTAGAATATTATCATTGTATACTTCCGGTTGAATAAAATTTTCTGATGATTTGTCAATTTTCATGTAAAGCTAATGATGATATTCTATATGATAATAAGAAATGTATTAATATACATGTAGACAACATATTGGAAATAAATTTTCTTTACATCATATAATATTACTTTAAAGTTTTCTTTTAATTTTCTTTTTTCTCTTTTTTTTCTTTTTTTCTTTCTCTCTCTCTATCCTTCTCTCCTTTCTTTTCAATATTCTGACAGTTTTTTTTATTGATTCAGTAAAATATAATGAGAATATTTCATTATCCCATCAAAATCATTCATTATTAAATTTTTTCAACTATCAATCCAAATATCAGTTTGTTTATCAATTAAATATCATGAATTCCATAATAGATTAAGAAATATAAATTTTATGATACATAACTTTCCCAGTTTTTTCTTTGTAATGACCTTAGTTTATTCTGATTTTTTTCTCTTTTTTCTTTCTTTTTTTGGTGTTATTGTTAGTTTGTTTCTATAATGATTGGGTGTGTTACTTCCTAAGACAAATAATGTTTACTGGTCTGTTATTATTTTATAATTGAAGAATAAGGGTTAAGTTTTGTTTGGTTAAAAATTGGAAACAACCTATAAATATGAACATATAAATAGTAACACATTTCTGTATATCTATGTATATTGATATGCACATATGTACAAGAACACACATACATAAATATATATATATACACACACACAAACAAACAAGCACACAATTATAGTCTAAATTATGTGTCTTTATAAGGTTGAGGTTTTCTTAATGTTCTTGAAGTTCATTTATTATTATTGATGATGATGATGATTGCTGTATATCAAAAGACAAGTGTTTGTATCACGCTCACTAATTTATATGATACAAAAAAGTATGGAAAATTATTTTAATCTACAAAAAAAGAAGAAAAAACAAATTACAATGATAAGAACAACAACAACAACATTGCCAACACCAGTGTTTATGTACACGAAGTAAAATTAATTTATTTTGGGTCAATTGGGAATATATTCTTTATTGGATAGGTTTTTCTTAACAACAACAAAAAAACCAAATTCATTTTTATAATGGTTGTTTAAATCTCCCCATTGATGATTAAGATTGTAATTGATCAGTCACATGTTGGCATATGTGCATCGTGTATGGATTACCTCGACATTGTCTTAAATCACAAGTATTATAAGCAAAGATGGATGATGGTTAGCAGTGGATTCCAGAACGCGCTTAAAATGCTTGTGACTTAAGGCAAATATCAAAGCAATGCATACACGAGGCATATACACCAACACATGACTGATCAATCGCAGTCCTAATCATCAATGGGAAGATTTAAACAACCAATGCAAAAATGAATTAAAACTACGCCCCACCGCACAAGTAAGTGGCTCTTAGAACTCAGTAGCTAAATGGATAAGGTGATGGTGTTTGGGGTAAACAGTATTCGGTTCGAGACCTGGAGCGAATATCAACTACGGGGTGAAGGTACATCTAGTTGATGAGTCCCAAATAGGACAAAACGAGCGTCCTGGATTCCTCTGCTTTCAAAAAAATAATGTTTAAATTTGATTATTCATGTATTATTAATGAATTAACTGTATTGGGATAAAACAAAAATTCTGTAATTTTCTTGTATGTATTTTTCGTCACAAACTAATTCATAATTATAACACTAACTACCCATCAAGTTCATTCCTTAAAAATCACGAAATGATCAATGACTGAGTAATTAAGAAAATACTGATTGTATGTTCAATGGGTGAACAAGAAAATTATGTAGAAAGATATGTATGGTGAAAATTGAACAGGATTAGTTAAGGAAACTGTCACATAACTTAAGGTTTGTAATGAGTTACATATTGGTTAAAAGTAATTATTATTTCCAAGAGTAAGTCCTCAAGCATACTTCCACTAAATAGATTAGTCTTTGCTATGGTCTTATTTTAAACGTCATCTTATATTTTGCTAATATTTACTATGCAAATTAAATAAGAAATAAGTAGAATTAGAATAACCTGATAATGAATTTTAAACCTAACTGACATTTAGTTAACAATGAATGAAAACAAATATATCATTCTAGTTTAGGATATTTCTACAAATCCCGTAGTATATGTGCAGTGTGAGAAAGAACTCAGGGATTTCAAGCTTTAATGAACTTAAAGCACCACATAATAATGCATTTGAGTCCTAGACTTATCTTCATATTTGATCAATGTATCATATATCTTCCAAAGTAACTGTTGACTTCTGCTTCATTCCTAATTTTCATAGGCCAATTGTGTGATCAATAATTCAATGTATTTTTCGCAACGTAATTATTCGAAAAATATAATGAATTTACAATGAAGTGGATAATAATACTACTGTGTATCAATAATATCTGAAAATATCTATAATTATAAGTTCACTGAATTAAGACGAAAAACTTGGGACCCATGATATTCTAAATAAATGGCTGGGCGAGACATTGATTCCCAAGAGAATTATATATTATAGAATGAACTTCATTTGGAATAGTGGATAGTTTAAAAGTCCGTTCCACCTTACTAATTATTGAAAGCGACTTTCCATCACATATCAGTCAGTTACGTGAACTATGCTCAAATTGAATTAATTTACGTAAATCACTTAAATGAATAATAGAATTTCTTTAGCTATGATATAAAACAAATCAAATGAAAAAAAAACATTGAATTCAGTAAACTCCATGAAAATTCAATCGTATATGCTTATCTACTTCATTACAGTGAATCAACATGTGCTCAAGTGTAAATTTATGACATACTTATGCTAAAATCGGTAACCAGTTAATCACTTCAAAAACTATGTTGTCAATGAATTCGAATCTATGTGAACGACTATTTTAAAACAATTAAAGTTAACTTTTATTCACGAAAATGTTATAATATAGCACCTAATTAATATTAACGATATGATAACATTTAATGAGATCATATTTCCAGTTGAATAAAGTAGAAACTTTTTGAATGCTTCTAAATTCTAAAAATGCGGTTAGATCCCAGATTTGTTGACACATTTAAAAATCAATAAGTTATTTGAAAAAAATTGGGCAAATAAGTATAACCTTATGATTGGAGGTAGTCAGCAGGAAACTATCCACCTAGGATTTACTGCCGAGTTATTATTCTAGTTACTGACCTTCTAAAGGACAAAGATACTTTGATCGATTGGTCATTCAGTAACAATCAAGGTTTAAGCACAGAAAATATAATATGAAATCGAAGTCTATGTGGCATCAAGTTATTTTAATTAGTGTTCACACTGCAGCAAGAATTCGGTCGGTACTATGGATGGAAGAAACATGACACCATTCAGTGACCAAGGCAAATATACCACCTTTTTAAGAATAGACCTAAACAAAATTGTTGTATCTGTCGACTACTTCACTACCTTGGTTTTTCCTACTTCGAATAGTGAGTCGAATAACTCAAGTAAAAACTCTAAGACAGTGGATGAGGATTTATTTGGCAATCAAAATAAATCCAAATTAATACACGAAAACATTTATTTTTATATGCATTACACTTATTAATTATCAGATTTGTGTGCATTAAACAGAATAGCACTTGATACAATTGATGGAAAATTTACCGAATAAATATTAACCGTCTATGACCGACAGAAATAGTGATATGATTACATCTTGAAATGGGATTAAATCTCTTAGACCATTGGAAATAGAAATCGACATCGTATGTCAATCACACTCAAATCAATTAAGTCCTTGCTCGTCGCATTATACGAGAGAAAAATGATGAATACGACACACGTGATGAATATGAAAACGTTGCGTTCAACTACAGCCGTCCTGAACGGTCAGTAAATTTTTATGTGTCGAGTAAAATAAAAGTTCATTTGAGAATTTTTTCAATAATTTGTAATTTTTGTTGCTGTAACTGTTTGCTAAGTTTCAGTGTACTCACAAAAATAACTTTCATTCAATTCATTATCATTTTATGTGAACATAGTTCACAATTCAACCAAAACAATCAGTTTTTAAGCACACAACTCCCTTTTATAAAAATCAGTGGTCGAGAGGTTAAACGTTTTCGTACGAAACCAAGGGTCCCGGGCTTGAGTTCCACATGCGGGATCGTGGATGCGCCACTGCTGAAGAATCTCATATTAAGACAAAACAGCCGTTCAGGGTTTTCGGATTTTCAATGGCAATCTAGCTTGTATCTAATCATAAATTCAACTATTAAAATCTAAGTTAACATCTTAAGGTTAAAACAAAACATTTCACGTGTAACGAAGCTCAAACTGAATCATAACCAGAAAGTTTATCTTTTTTCTAAAAAACTGCAGAATCATTGGTTTGCTTTATGTTATTATGAATTGT